CTACCACCACCCCAAACATAACAAGGGCCACAATGTTTCATATCGGAGAGTGGCACACAAAGCCTTGTGTTTCTGATGAATATCAGATCATTGTTTACGACGTGGTGAGTTGACGTTGTTCCAAGGTAGAGAAGTGATCACAAATCGGTCCAGTCTAATGATAACAAGCAATAACGTGCTGAAATTTTGAACTGTGAACCAAACACAGTGTGTATTCAAGTCAATGAGGTCAGGAGAACAACCCAGTTGAAAAAATTTGGTGGCTTACGATCATGACGTTCCGCGCTCGCATCCGGATCTTCATTTGATCTGAAGGGAGGAGTGGTGGTCGGTGATGAGGTGGTAGCCTCGTTCGAGTCCGGCGATTTCTGCGGTCCCATCGAAGGGGAATGTTCCGGACTAGGAACGTGGGCACGTGAAGTCGACTCACAATGTGTGAGATAGTCGATTGCCTCAGCTAACGTGTAATCAGGAGAGGGTTTTTCCAGATGAGTAGAGGTAGAACCGAGAGTGTCCTGTGTGACCAAGGGCAGACCCTGGATGAGCCAAGGCCAATGGCGGAACAAGTTTTCCAAAACCTGATGAGGATTGGGGTAGAAAATACAGTAAACAACAGGAAAAACTAGAATGCTGAACTTTTTGTATTATACAATGGCGGTAGCGCATCTTGGAAAAATCGAAAGGTCTTCATTATTCAAAGATTATCTATAACCATTGGAAAACTAACGCAACTGGATTCCACTAGACACCTCGATTGTTATTCACAAGGATGGATAATGAATGAGATCTCACTAGTTGAAGAAAGCGAACAGAACATCGGGTGCAAATCACCCACATGAGCTAGACGGCAGTCGCCCACTAAGTGTGTTCTAACCGAGGCCTCAGGGTCACCTGAAATCGATTGATCACGCCGAAAAACCAGTTTCGTTTGAAAGCACTGATAAGACAGATCAGGTGGACTATGTGTACCCTGGGTACCTTGGGGTTAAGCAGGCGCGTCTCCGGGTTGTGGATAGAGGGATACCTTCACCAAAGAAGGTTAGCTGTGAATAAGTTGTGGCATACCGCAACAAATAAGCAGTCGCGAAAAAAACAGCGGCGGCATTACCAGGGTGTGATAAGCTTCAGGCTGGCTACTCGGCTCTTGTTTAAAAGCCGCATAAGACCAATGACGGTGTCGCGACAAAGGTCGATGTGACAGTCCTTTTAAAACTAAATTCATTGACTCCCCTTACTTCCAAGGTGAAGGATTATTACCTGTTGCCTTGCAGTTCGCACTTGTTTGTGCGAAGGCTAAAGATGCGCCCTCGAAATAAAAAAACGCCGAATGACGCTGGGGTCATCTCTTGTACCAAACTCCCAAGTAACTTCATGATCATGGCTCCGACTGCTCCAATCCAAGGAGCCAGTCATAGTGAAGTAAAAAATGTATGTACATTATGGAAAAGAAAGCATGCGTACCGAAAACGCACGAACCGTTAAAAACAAAGGTGGTGGTCAGATTGAAGTGAGAAATCCATTTGCAACACACACAGAAAGGCTATTGACTACAAAGTGATCAAGCCGATGAAAAACTCATTCAGTATAGCTTCAGACTGTCGTGACAAACATTAACGGTACGGAAGAGAAAGGCTCCACCTCGACGATTTAGTGTCTAACTCGATGAATCAGAAAACTGAAGATGAAAAGAGATGTGCGACTCTACTCGTAGATTACGGTTGCGGGAACTTTCAACGTGGTCAGGTAAGACAAATGAACCAAACAAAAACACCACGACTGTTCATCGCATTCTCTGTAAATGTCTTTTTCCACATATATCTCAGTTGACCCCAATCTCCCCTTGTTCCTTTATTATTGTTGTTGAAGCGTTGGTTTCAAGCTTTTTACCAAGCCAGTGATATATAAACATCATCATGTGATACAGTCCTCAATGAGGAAATGAAAGCTTTGTGCACATGAGTTCATTGGTCAGGCTGTGTTTAAGGTCATCTGGAGCTTTCGTGTGGTTTAGGCCCCCGTTCAGTTCAGTACAGTTCCGTTTGTACAACCATTAACCATGCACTTCCGTGCGCCGGTTTTGGTTACCGTCCTTTGGCTGCCCATTTGGATGAATATTAGGAGAAAGACAGGAAAGGTTGAAAGTAGGATCGAAGAGAAAATTGAAAAGTTCAGTGGATTAATGTTGCAGAGAAATTGACAAGATGCACGAACGACACTGTTTACGACACTCAGCAATATCAAACAATATCTCTAACCATCGGATACGATCATCTCGAGATCCCCATCCATGGAGCCCAACGGGACCTATGTGATCCAGACTCCTGGTTAGGGTTTACATACCCTCACTCTAGGTCTTAGCTTCACCACCTTGGGCTTTCCTCCATCCACTACCTGTCTCGGCAAACATCGCTCGCCGTGGCAACCTATTTGGTTATATGCTTAACACACGCCCCAACCAACGTAGCCTATGGAGGTCGACCGTTTACGCCAGTGGGCGACCGCAGTTACCTAAAACTTTGCTCCCAACCTCAGCATTGCTCGTGGTGATAAAACATCGAGATACGTGTGAAAGTGGCGGTGTATGTATGTCGACAAACTACTGACATTCCATGTTATCCCAGAGAGAAGAACTCAGTTATGAAAGGCAATCAAGAACTCACTCCGTTCAGTCGGGCGAGATTGGTAGAATCTCCAAAAAACACCGGACCGAAGCAGATGGCAATGCACTGGTAGGACACCTCATTCATGTGGCGATAGGCAACCACCTCGCGAATATGGTCAACCAAGAAACATAGAGTGGCCCAACGCCACGTGGCTGTACGCNCGGAGTGGGTGAGCTGGTTTTTGATCGGTTCTGACCGGTTCCCGGGGAACCCGCGGTAGGTTCCGTTTCAGATGGTCTCTCCGGACTATTCACAGAACTGGAGATGATGTGGCCACTAGGAATACCGAGAGCCTATTGAGACAAAGACCGATGACAGTTCATGCGTTATCTCCACGTGTTA